TAATATCTAGCATGTATAGGATATTTAATATTTAATTGCTTTAATTAGTTTCCTAGATAGATTAGAATTAGTCATAGTTAGGATCTATAAATAGGGACCATCCCCCATTGTCTTTAAGAGTCTTGGAATGGAATGGAAAAGAACGTTTGTTCGAAACCGTGTGTTGAGAGTCGTGAGATTCGATCATACAAATCGAATTGGTGAGGCTAAGACCCGAGCCAGTTCAACGATTTAGAGAGGCTAAGACCCGATCTATTTCGCGAGTGAAACGAGGCTAATAACCAAGTGAACTCAAGTATCGTGAGAGAGTTAGGCTAATAACCGAGTCGATCACACCTATCGTCGAGAGCAAGGCCGTGGCGAAGCCGTGATCGACACAAGTCGAGGACACGAACATCCGATCCTTCATCACACCCTCCGAACGTCGTGGTCAAGCCAAGCACCTAGGCCTGGGGGCGGTGAGGAGAGGCGATATAATCCCAAAGGGGTTGCTGCCGCTAGTCCCGCCAAGAAATCCGCTGAGTAGTTTGCCTCTCGATGCACATGTAGGATCCGAATATTCCAGTCCCTTGTAGTCAGCTCCCTTGTAGTCTACTTCGCAATTTTTCATTTCAAGAAAAGTTCATTTTCACTTTTGCTTACTCAATAGTCAATAGTCAATACAGGACCAGAACCCTATAAATAATAAATACTTAATAGATCCCCTCAGTCCAAACACAAACACACACACAAACCGCCGCCACCGCTACCGCCGCCGTCGATATGAAGCTCCCCGCCGCCAACCACCACCACCACCTCACCACCCCCTTCCTCCACTATGCCACTCTCTCCGTTCCCCGCTCGGCTCGCGTCTCCAACGCCCCATTCTCCGTCCGGATGTCCCTTAGGGAGGACGGCCCCTCCGTCGCCGTCGTCGGCGTCACAGGAGCTGTTGGCCAGGAGTTCCTCTCCGTCCTCTCCGACCGTGATTTTCCCTACCGATCTCTCAAGCTGCTCGCCTCCAAACGCTCGGCCGGGAAAAATGTCACGTACGAAAATCGAGAATACACCGTGGAGGAATTGACGGAGAACAGCTTCAGTGACGTAGACATCGCCCTTTTTAGCGCCGGCGGGAGTATAAGCAAGAAGTTTGGGCCTCTAGCCGTCGACCAGGGAGCCATCGTCGTGGATAATAGCTCTGCATTCAGGATGGACCAAGGGGTCCCCCTCGTGATACCGGAAGTGAATCCTGAGGCCATGGAGGGTATTAAGCTCAGGAATGGGAAAGGTGCTCTCGTTGCAAATCCCAACTGCTCGACTATTATATGCCTCATGGCTGCCACCCCTTTGCACCGTCGTGCCAGAGTATGAAATTTTCTTCAGCTGTTTATATATTTATTTTTTATTTATTTATTTATTTATTTATTTATTCTTGTGTTAATTTGTATTCGAATGATATGCAATATGGACGAGGTGAAATGTCAAGTTAATGTTCTAAAGATGCTGTGTGAGTTTTTGCATTCTCTGAACAAACTTGATGAGACTGAATCAGGTCTAATTCAAAATAATGAAACGAGAATGAAGATGAAGTTAATCAACTAATTGTGTTATCTTAAATGATCAATGCCAACCAGCTGCGTTGTGACAAAGTGAATAATAGTAGAAGTATGTGCAAAATGTCTTGTCATCTACCAGAACAAAAGGCTATGTTGGTAACTTCAATTAATTGATACTAATGTTCAACCATATTTCTTAAAGCCTTATATAAAAATCTGAACAGTTATGCACTTTATGGGCATCGTCACACCATATATAATCGTTACAATCTTCGTAAGAAAGATCTTATATATATTAGTTGGTCAATAGCTTTCTGATTCAGGTCCATGTGGAGTTATAAGTTGATTTCAGAGGAACACTCTTTTGGGTTTAGGCATATTTCAAACATTGAATCTCATTATTGAATATAATATGTTTGAGTGACTGTATCTCATGATTAATTTTTCATCTGTATCATGAATGATGATTATGAATATCTGTCATGTCTATTTCTTCCGTGTTATGAATCTGTGTCATGTTTATGCATTTTTAGTTGATTCGTAAAATTGGCATATTAAAACTTGGTTAGTGAAAATTTCGCCTTGAAATTTGTTGCTCATCCACTGTAGGCTCAATAAGTTGTATTTTCCAGTTCACCTCCTTGTTCTTTGTACTAATTTTGATAGTTATTTTGGTCGCTGAAAGTTCCCTGGATGCTGTGAACATAAAATTATGGAACATATAGGTCTTAATTTCGGTTTTTGTTGATTTTGCTAATTACTGTGCAGGTATCTCGGATGGTGGTTAGTACATACCAGGCAGCAAGTGGTGCTGGTGCTGCAGCTATGGAAGAACTTGAACTGCAGACTCGTGAGGTCTCCCATGTCTTTACATTGTTTTGGTATTATCCATCCTTTATTGGTCTAAGCAACTGACATTTTTTGTTTTCAATAGGTTCTGGAAGGAAAACCGCCTACATGTAACATTTTTAAGCAACAGGTTTGTTGATGCAATCTACTTCTACATTTTTCCACTCATGATTTGGGAAAAAAAAAAAAAAAAATTATATTGTGTCTAATCTCTCTCTAAAATGCAGTACGCGTTTAACTTGTTCTCACATAATGCGCCTGTCCTTTCAAATGGATACAACGAGGAGGAGATGAAATTAGTTAAAGAGACAAGAAAGATATGGGTACGTTGTAGTTTGTTTTTTTCCTGACGTAATTCTGAAATTTTCTGTTAACATCACCACCTAGATTGTATTACAGTTGGTTCCAGTTTATATTTGTAATGGATAAACTTATGCTCTGCAGAATAATGATACTGTCAAGGTAACTGCCACCTGTATAAGAGTACCTGTCATGCGTGCTCATGCCGAGAGTGTCAATCTTCAATTCCAGACACCTTTAGATGAGGTAGATTTTTTAATCTGAAATTATTATGATCTTGTCCTGGAAGCTGCGTGTGTTAATCTATTATCATATATACGTGTCTGCTTGTTTTGGTCAGATATTTTATACACTGTTTACAACTTGATTAACATCACTATCTGTTTGAAAGAAGACTGTTTCATGGATACTTGAAGCTTCATTCCATATTAGTAGTCAATTGCATGTGGTTTATGGTTGACACCGATGAAATTTACTTGTGATTTGTTAATATACTACCCAACATCACTGGAGTCTATTAAAAGCACCTCTCCCATATTCTTCTTAATTTTTTAGGACACAGCAAGAGAGATTCTCAGAAATGCCCCTGGAGTAGTTGTTATTGACGATCGTGAGGCCAACTGCTTCCCTACCCCATTGGAAGTTTCAAATAAAGATGACGTGGCAGTTGGTAGAATACGTCAAGATGTTTCCCAGGAAGGGAATTATGGGTAAAACGACCGATGACTCGTTTCTGTTTATATAGTTTTGAATCAAATTGCATCCTAATGAACGTTTGGTTTTAACAGTTTGGACATTTTTGTATGTGGCGATCAAATACGTAAAGGTGCTGCTCTTAACGCCGTCCAGATAGCTGAGATGTTGCTGTAAGTTTCAAGCTTTTATGAATTATTAATGGTGAGATGCAGATCACAATTTTGGGTGTTGTATTTTTCCTCGAATGGGGAAGAATTGCACTATAGAGAAACAAATCTCCGGGTCTTTGTGTAGCTTTGCTTCTTTTCATGTATTTCTTCTAAAATTGAGATGTTTAAACATAGGCTTGGATAAGTTTGTTCTACTCTTTTTTTTTTTTTTTTTTTTTTTTTTTTTTTTTTTTTTTTTTTTTAAGCCATCTGTTGTTCTGTATTGGGATGTTCTCAAATAAATGTTTCATCTTTGTTTGACTGCTTGCTTTTAGAGAATTTTGCAACTGCAGGATATACTTGAACATTGATTGTGTCTCACAATTCGGACTCCCCTTGTCTTTGAGAATATGTTGGTTTAACAACTTTGGTATACAAGAGGTGTTGTCGTCTTGACCTTTTCCGGTGGATGATGAAAAAAGGAAACGAGTCTCTCTCCAAATATTTAAAGTTTACATATCGTTGAGAAATTGATATAATTAAATAAGAGAAAAATACAGTTATATTGAATAAACGGATAATTCCTTTAAAATCCCTAAACCACATTTGAGTTTCCTTCTCAGTCCTCATACTATTTTTTTAACCTCTGCACTCCCTAATATATATTTCTCTTTCCTCTCAACTCCTCATATAAATACTAATACTATTATTATTGATTTTTTTTATTTGATAATTTATTATTCTCTTTCTTCAATCTCTCTCTTCGCATCTCGCTCTCTCTTCGCCGAACACGAACCTTTTTGTCAAATACGACGGCAGCTTGCCGGATCTGTTTCGAGAGGGGCACTCGGCAGTGGCTGAGGGGCTTATCTGGCCCTTTGTAGTGGTATGAGAGGTGAAATCATCGATAATGGAGGCGATGCTCGCAGTTGCCCGGAACAATTTGGGTAATTTGGAGTTCCCAAAGTTGTAAGAAATTAATGGGCCTGTTTGATTTTCAGTTGTAGTTTGAAGAATTTTTAAGTTCTGACTGAAAAACTGTGCCTTGTGAAATTTGAAGATAGCAACCCTCATTTTCTTTAAGAAGTTTGGAGTTATGCCTTTTATGAGTGTTAAAATTACTCCTCTCTAGTACTTTTCGGGCCACCTTCAAATTACTCTTGGATTTTGTAATTTGCTCTTTTTGTGGAATAAGAGAATGCAAATCAGGTTTACATGTTGTTATTGTTACTTGTGATGGGATCTGGAATATGCTAGGATATTGGGTTTATGTGTTTCTTCTTTTGAGAATGACATTAGAAACATTTTCTATGTAGCAAGGGTGATGGAAAGAAGCATCTTTATTGAAAAGTGAGACAAATTGGTCATCCTTCATTTTTTTTTTGTTTGGTTGAGAACCTGATTTTGTTGGATTAGGCACTGTTCGTGCACTAACTCGTCATTTCAGCTCCCAACATGAAGCAATAGATATTAAACACAAGGTAATTTCTTGGTTTATGGGAATACTCAGTGCAATTTTCTGCAAAAAAAAGTTTATATGTATTAGCAGTGTACTAAAGAGCAAAAACTTTTTTGGCCTGAAAAATTTTGATACATCAACATTGAGTTTTACTGGAAATTTGCTCATTTCTAATTTCTCATATGTTCTCCCAGAAAAAAAAAAAAAAAAAGAAAGAAAAATGAAAAAAGGATTCTTGGTGTTACTTTCGATTTAAGTGATAAGGCACTTGAGGGTAACTGAAGAAGCCCTTAACTTTAAGATTCATGCCAAGTGTATCAGCTTAAGGTGATGTGGTTCTCTTATTTGCTAGTTTTGTTAAATTGTTGCATCTTATCAAATGGAAGTTCTAGTATACAAACTTTTATGGTGATTAGGACACTTGCATGTTATAGTTTCCGAATGTAGCATTTTGTGAATATTGTAAAGCCTGCATTGTTTGTTTAGTGTGCAATCAATTGCTGGATTTCCGTGAATGGTCATTGTGCATTTTGTGTCATTGCCTTCTTGGCTGGCATTTGGCTTCTTTTGTAGCTCATAAAGAAGCTAAGAAACGGCCGTGTATTTCATGGATGGTTGAGGGTTCTTTGAACTTTGCTCCAACTTATAAATATGAACTGAACTCCGACTCCTACTGTGGAGTGGATTCAAAGGCTGGAAACAGAACTCCCTGCATGATATGCATTATTGTTGGTCTTGATATTCACGTTTCCCTTTTGTGTATATATATATATATATATATATATATATATATATATATATGGTCAATTCTATTTGACATATCTTATAAGTTGCTTTGGGGTTCTCTTATTTGCTAGTTTTGTGGATAACTAAAAAGTTTGTATACTAGTTTTGTTTCACCAAAATGGGTACCTCAGGTATTTGCTAAGGTGTTGTGGTTCTCTTATTTGCTAACATACAAGTAAATTGGATGCTATATTTTGCTTTACAGTGTGAATTGACCTTCAGCTTCTAGCTAGTATCTCTAAGATTTTCAAGTGATGCTTCTATTCATGAACTTTTTCTCTACAGGATCTTCTTGTCACTTGCTGATGCCTCGATAAGTGAGGCCTTAGAGTTGCACAAGATTAAGAACCGTAAATGGTCTATTTTTGGTGGTTGTATATTTCTAGCTTTTCTTTTGGTTTGCCTTTTCCTTCTTTTTGGGTTTTTTTTTTTTTTGTATCCCCTGGTCTTTGCTGTAATCCCATGTGGATTCTCATTTGTAAATAATACCAATAATGGTGTATTTATTATATTTTTTTTAATCAATTAGTACCTACTTTGGTCTACGGAAATGGATTACTTTAATGTTTGTCAATGTTTATTAAATTAGAACCAGTTCTAGAATTAGACAATATTAAATGGTAATTTGGTACCCAATATCGGGTCATTAATACCAACTCCAACGAACTTTAAAAAAAATTACCGAATTTTGATCTTAAATGATGTTTATATTACTCAAAATCACTCACACATTAGCTTCAATGAGTTTTAGAATGTGTTGAATTAAGTTTTATCGCAAATTGGTCATGAACTCAACACATCAATGAACAAACGTTATTAAAACACTTCATCTCATTAAACGATTAAACATGACTAGTCTAATTTTAGATTCGTCTATCATTCAACCACTCCATGCGTGAACGATCTATGACATGACACATTAAAGAAATCATGATTCGTAATCTGGTACTTGTTTGTCTTAAATATGATACGATGTAAGTTGCACTATAATTGTTACCTGTTTGTTTTAGTACCAGATATCGGGTCTTTATTACCAACTCCGACGAACATAAAATTTAAAAAAAAAAAACAAATTTCGTAAAATGGTACCGGTTTTTCCACAAACAGTACCACTTATTCTTCTATGCAGTACCAGTTATTGATGAATTAGTACCTACTTTGTAGAAAAAAGAAAAAATGGATTACTTCAAATTTGGCCAACATTTACAAAATTGGTACCAGACCTAGAGTAAGATAGTACCGAAAATATGGTGTTCTAGTACCAGATATCGGGTATTCAGTGCCAACTCCGACGACCATAAAAAAACATCGAATTTTGGTCTGACATGATGTATATTTGACCCATTATAACTCTCACATTAGTTTCTATGAGATTTAATGTGTGTTTCATTAAGCTTAATAGCAACTTGGTCACGAACTCAACACACTAATGACAAAACACTACTAATACATTTCATCTCATTAAAAGACACACTTCATATAATTGAATGATCATACATTACTACTCCAAATTCTACCTATATGTTTTAACTTCCACTATTTCTCAACCAAATCACGCGTGAACGATCCACTTGGCATGGTAGACATGGAGGATTAAAGAAATCACGATTACTAAAACGGTACCAGTTTTAACAGAAATAATACCGCTTCTTCTTCTGCGTAGTACCTGTTTTTAATTAATTAGTACATACTTTTGATCAATGAAAATGGATTACTTCAACTTTGGTCAACATTTGCAAAAATTGGTACCAGACCTAGAGTAAGATAGTACCAACTTTTGGTGTTTTAGTACCAGATATCGAGTCCTTAGTACCAATTTCGGCGAACATAAAAAAAAACACCGAATTTCTGTCTCAAATGAAGTGTATATGAGATTTAAAGTGTTTTTAATTGAGTTTAATCGCAAATTGGTCATGAAATCGACACACTAATGACAAAATACTACTAATACACTTCATCACATAGAATCATAATACATGACTACTCCAAATTCAACATATATGTTTTAACTTCTACTATTTTTCATCCAAATCACGCATGAACGATCCACGTGTCATAGTAGACATGAAAGTTTAGAAGAATCGCAATTCTTAAAATAGTACCTGTTTTAGCCAATATAGTACCGCATCTTCTTCTACGTGGTACTTCTTTTTGATTGATTAGTACCTACTTTTTTGAACGAAAATAGATTATTTCAATTTTAGTCAACATTTACAAAAAGTAATACCAGACATAGAGTAAGATAGTACCAATTTTATATTGTTGTAGTACCTAATATTTGATCTTTAGTACCACTTGTAATGAACACATAAAAACACCGAATTTCAGTCTCAAATGATGTTATGACCCTTGATCACTCTCACTTTAGTTTATATGAGATTTAAAATGTTTTTGATTGAGTTTAATCGTTTATTGGCAATGAACTCGACTTACTAATGAGAAAACACCACTAATACACTTATTGAATGACACACTTTATCTCATAGAATCATTATACATGACTACTCCAAATTCTACCTATATGTTTTAACTTCCACTATTTTTCATCCAAATCACGCGTGAACGATTCGCGTGTCATAGTAGACATGAAGGTTTAGAGGAATCACAATTCTTAAAATAGTACATGTTTTAACCAATATAGTACGGCATCTTCTTCTACATGGTAGCTCTTTTTGATAGATTAGTACCTACTTTTTTGAACGAAAATGGAATATTTCAATTTTGGTCAACATTTACAAAAAATAGTACCAGACATAGAGTAAGTCAGTACCAGTTTTATATTGTTGTAGTACCTGATATTGGGTCTTTAGTACCACTTGTAATGAACGTAGAAAAACACCAAATTTCGGTCTCAAATGATGTTTATATGACCCATAATCACTCTCACATTAGTTTATATGCGATTTAAAATGTTTTTAATTTAATTTAATCGTAAAATGATCATGAACACGACACACTAATGAGAAAACAGTACTAATACATTTTATTTCATTGAATGACATACTTCATGTCATAGAATCATCATACATGGCTACTTCAAATTCTACCTATATGTTTTAACTTCCACTATTTTTCATCTAAATCACGCATGAATGATCCACGTGCTATGGTAGACATGAATGATTAGAGAAATCATGATTCCTAGAATAGTACCTGTTTTACCCAAAATAGTACCGCATCTTCTTCTACATGGTACCTGTTTTTGATCGATTAGTACCTAATTTTGTGAAGGAAAATTAATTATTTCAATTTTGGTCAACATTTACAAAAAGTAGCACCAGCGATAGAGTAAGATAGTACCAATTTTATATTATTGTTGTACCTGATATTGGGTCTTTAGTACCACTTTAATGAATACATAAAAACACGGAATTTCGCTCACAAATGGTGTTTATATGATCCATAATCACGCATGAATGATCCAGGTGGCATGGGGGAGAAATTTCTTTGTAGGGCTTGACTTTTTGTTATTGTGTCACAATAAAGCCTAAATTTTTAACTTTTCATTTGAAGGTTTCAATTTTAAGTTATTCTCAATGTAAGGTCTAAATTTTTAACTTTTTCATTTGAAGGTTTCAATTTAAGTTATTCTCAATGTAAGGCCTACTTTTACATTCTACTTTTCATCTAAGAATCCATATCAATTT